CCCCAAAACCCCAAAACCCCAAAACCCCAAAACCCCATCGTTCTAAATACTACGAGAAATATATAATTACTAGGTAATGGAGAAGATTGCTATGCCAGTACTAAATAAGGACATTCCGAGAGATCCGTCATTTCATAAGTTGATCACGCAGTTTCAGAATTCTCGCACGGATCCTAAATCTCCGCTGAGGCGCAGAACTCTTCAGCGGGAGAGATCTGTGAGGAACATCATTCCAAAGATCCAGAACTTATTTTGGAAAAGTTCTTCCCAAATAAATTTGAAGAATGAGAAACTTCCTTCACTGAAATCACTGACTAAGGGGAGTGAAACAATGCGGAAATCTCAAGGAATTGAATCAATCCAGTAAGCATCGGTTATTTCCTAGAGTAGTTTACACATAATTTTTAGCCAGCTCATAAAATGTTCTTTACTGATCCTACCAAATTTTGCTCGGCATGAGCCAGAAGAGAGTCATGGGCTAACAGTGATATAGGAAGATGCAAGCTAAAAATACAGAACTTAAGAAGCAGAGGTATATGTATAAGAGAGTTCCTACTAAATATTTGTACTCCCAGCTAGATTCTACAATGAAGAGGAGTAAAAAGTTGGTACAGAAGGATGGGTCTGCTGACACACCAATCGATATTGTTGGAGGGTAAGCTATTTTCACATCAAAAGTTGTCCCAGTGGCTTGGAGATATTGGTCGACACATTCCAGTGGTGTGTTAGCTTCTTAATTTTGCAGAATGAGGCAATACTTGTGTGGCCAATATGAACTTTTATAAGTTTAGCAGGTTATTTATTATTTCTTTTATGAATAATTCTTCAGTAAATTAAATCTAAGTTTACCTTATTCAAAGCAAAAATTAAAACGCAGGATGGCTTAGTCCATTTGCAGATCAGGAAGTTTAACTACCTAGTTAGTCTGGGAAGATCTCCTCTTTATTTAATGGAATTATTGCTAACCTGGAAATAGACAATTAAGCCCGAGAAATGATTGTCAATTCATGCAAGATCTAGTGAAGAAACTTGATGGAATCAAGCCCACTGGTGGCCATTCTGATGGTAGCTCTAGGATAACCTCGATGTTCCGTGCAGGATCGTTTCACTCAACTATTGATCTTAAAACTGTCAGGAAGGAACTCGAGCAAAAATATGAACGATTCGTTGTAAAGTAGACATTCATTTCTGCCTAAAAGTTTATGGGTTTTGAATTAATTTTTTAGGTCAGAGTAAAGAAGAAATATCACCCAGCTTATGACAGCAGAGGCACTAAGAGCAAGTTTATAGAGAAGACTAACAATAATAAGCCAAACGAATCTGACAGTGAGGTGGGCTTTACAGAAGACGAGGACTGAAACCATGCTCAGGTACCAAAAATCACGGTTGACAATCAGCTAAATAGCTTTAAGATTACACCTGAAGTGAGGAAGGCTGTCAAGAAGCATCTTCCTCAGGCTAAACCTAGTCCTCGTTACAATAATTTAAGCAGGGAGGAGAAAATTGAACTGTGAAGGAGAGGCTTAGATATCAGATGTGTGTCTAAAATCGACCATATCCGTGTAAGTAAGGAAGATTCTGTCCCTCTCAGCAGCGATAGCATTAAGCCACTAATCCTGATGCCAGGGACACACAGGAGCATGTAAGCCTCTGTAAACCCTCTCAACTATATTGGAGTATTCTGTAGAATTTTTCAATGCTTCCTGTCAAAATAGGGGTTTTGGGGTTTTGGGGTTTTGGGGTTTTGGGGTTTTGGGG